CATCTCCCGCACAGATACACCAGCCATAGTTCACAAGTAATTACTCTTTAACAATGTTGTGGTTGACCCCTTAACTTGATAAATGTGAACTTGGATAATGATTGGTGTACGAATCACTTTCCTTAAAGAGTATTTCGAGCCTTATCAAAGCCTTGGGTTACACGAAATCTCTTGTAGGATAAGACAATCAAAGTTTCTCTCTTGTTCTAGGCTAAGATACAAGAGATACACAAAGAGTTTTTCTTTGCTTTGTTATTATATTGTTTTCTGGTGGTAGTTTGCAAAAACTTTCTATGTTCCTCTCCAAAGATTTCTCAACCTTTTATAGAGTTTCCAGGAATACAATGAATAGTTGCAATGGTTCACAATAACTATAATCTCAACAGTTGCAATGGTTTAAAATAACCATAAAACTCAAGAGTTGCAATGTTTGGAGAATAACCATATTCTCAAGAGTTGCAATGTTTGGAAAATAACCATTTTCTCAAAAGTTGCAATAGTTCACTAAAAATAATTGTAACACTTTTTTTTCCCGGCAAATCAAATATATTATTATCATAAAAAATTTACAAGATGCAGAAACATTCTAAATACAACCGTTAACGCAAATCACTACAAAAAAAGTCTGTTTAGAATCACTTATTTTAAATATTCGCATTAGTTATAATTGATGCAAACAAATTTTAAATTATTTATAAAAGTGATTCTGAAAGTGGTGATGCAAATATTTTACATCACTTGTCAGAAATATTGTATCAATTATTGTAATTGATTTTAATATGAGTCAGTTGCAAACAATTGATGTTAACTTTTGCATCATTTAATATAAATGATGTTATTGTTTGTATCATTTATAACTAATTGATGTTAAAATTAAAATCAATTTTCATATGTGATTCTAATAATTAATTTTAAAATAATTATTTGATTAGTGACAAATTTATTATTTTAAATAATATTCGTAGTTTTTATTAATTATTATTTTTTATAACAAAATCTTTTCCAATATCTATTAAGAACTAAAATTAAAAACAAAAAAATACATCAGGATATAAATTAAAAACAAATTGTCATTCACAAAAATAAGAAAAAACAATAAAATCATAAATCAATCCAATTAATATACACTTTCATCATCATTAATCACAAAAAGAAAAAAAAAATTGATAAGTTAAGAACTAAGATCACAATCAAACTATAATTTCTTTATATTTTCTGAAGTCGCATGATACTCTTCACAAATCTGAGAAGCCTCTTTAACAAGTCATGATTCGTCTCTGTTGACTTAAACTTTATGTACTAACATTCATTTTCTCTGCTTCAAGCTTAACCAACTGTTTCTTGATGGCAAAGATTTCGATAGAAAACACGTCTCCTCCCTGAGCCAGAGTCACAAATGCGTCCATGAATCTCTGCTTCTCCATCGCGGTTTCTCTGAGAAGCCTCGAGTCCTTCTTTAATGACGGTCTTGAATTTTGCTAACAAAGAGATATAACATTTATGGTGGAATCATAAGTATATAAACTAAAAAAATGGAAAAATGTGAGACAAGTAGTGAAGAAATCGGAAACATACAAAGAAGGAGAAAATAAAAATTAGGAATAGAGATCTGTTTTTGAAGGTATTAAGTAAGAGATATCTGTTAAGGTATTTAGATTTTTTTTAAAAAGATAATTAAACGTCTACGAAGATTATGGGCGAGGAATAAGGGATTATGGATCATGAAAAAAGGAAAACAAAACTAAAAAATCTAAATAGTTATTTGATTGAAGAAAAAATGGAAATTGTTGGTGTTGGATTTAGCCCAAATCCAGCCTATAAAGCACTTTGAATGAATAAGCCATTATAAGGAAAGCTTTGGGTCCTATAGGCCTGTAACTAAAGTAAGGAAATCCTCTTCAAGGAATATACTCAAGTACAAGTCAATCTAAGAGGATGCGGAAAGCTAGATAAAAAGAGATCGCGGAGATCTCGGAGAAGAAGAGGTCGTGGAGAGATGTATAAGAGGAGATCGCGGAGATCTCGGAGGTCAGAGAAGGAGAGAACGTATCAACCCGCTGATCTCGGAACAGTTCGTTTCGTTCTATTTAGTATGTTTCGTTCTATTTAGTATAAATAGGAGTTGAATCTCTTGTAAAGGACATTCAATCCTTAGTTAAAAAAACACTTTGTAAACATTCATCTTTCATCAATACAATCCAAATTCGTCGATATTTGTCTTTATTTTTACACCGCTTTTACTAAAATTCTTGCCCAAATTCTTCTAACACAAAATCAACACACTAAATCCTTGAGTGTGGATTTTAGGATCCACAGAAATATAAAACCTAATATATATATATATAAGAGATTAATAATTAAGTGAATTAATTTCCATTTCCATTTCCACGCTTGGTGTTGTAAACATGTAATGCATTTCATTTTTTTTTTAATATTCATTTCCATATAAAACACAAACTACATGCCAAAAATATGACTGGCTATCTTTGAAGGAATTATTTCTTAAGAAAAATATTAAAGTTGAAATATTATTTCTTTTTTTTCTTCAGTCACAATATTATTTCTAACATATGTATGATTTACGTTTGTAAAATTCAATTATAATAACTATTTTTTTTGTAAATAATTATCATGTTTTGATCATGTTAAAAAAATTAGAAAAAGAAAATTAAAATTCTTAATATAATTTTCATATATTTTATAAAAAATAGTAAATTTATATAAATATATGACGTCTAAAGTTTCAAATCTAATTTTTTTTCCTTTTTTAAAACTCATAAACCATTATTTACAATAAAAAATCACATAAATATTTTAATGCAGATATTTAAAACTTCATTAGCATCATTTTTTTTACTGATGTAAATTTTGTATCATTTTTTAAGTGATTTTAATTCAAATTTATAAATACATCGATTAACAATTGATGTGAATTAATATTTTTGTATCAATTATATAGAACTGATGTCAAACCAGTCAAAACTGTATCAATTATTATAATTGATGTTAATTTATATAGTTTGTATCATTTATTAATAAGTAATGCAATTTAATATCACTTAATTTTGTGATAGAAATTAAGTGATGTAATACACCTCTTTTTTTTTAGTGAATAAAGGAAATTGAGACAATTTCGATGAAGGAGTGAAGAGTAACCAGACTTTCCTTTCAAAAGTCTTATAGGCTAACAGATAAAATTTGTTATGTCCCTCCTTCGTATACTTTTTATTGGCTATCATCTTGCTGATGAAACTCCAACATTCAATTGGCATTACTTTGATTAATATGATAAACCTAAATATTGTTGGTGATGAATCTGAAACTTGTCTCGTCCTTGAAATGAAATATTTGACGATTCCAGCAACGATTCTGTGTTCATATTGGAGAATATATTGATTTCGTATTATCAAGAGGAAAGACGAAAAATACCGATTGGGGAATGAAGCGTCTTCTCTTCTTTTTTTGGCCATACCCATTGTCTTCTTTGCAAACAATCCTAAGCATCATAAACACCAATACAATATATGATTGACAGTAGTTTTCAAAATGCCGCCCTTTCACTCTGAAGGAATTGACTTAACCCTTGCTGATACAAAGAAACCCTCAAAAAAGAGACAACACGGTCACCGGATGAAACAATCATCAACAAAACCAAACAGAGAAATGGAATCTCTATAATTGGAGCGTACTTCCGAAGCAAAACTTGGAGGAACACAAACTGATCTAAAACCATGACTGCTATTACAAGGGAATAAGCAAAAAGGACAATGAAAAGGAAGAAATATAAATCGAACAAAAGCATATGTCTCCAACAAACATCACCGTGTGGAGAGAAATTCTTATGTCCAATTATAAAGTAATTCCAAAATTGCCATTCTAGAACCCGTGAGAGGAAATAGAAGAAGGTAACACCGCATCCTATGACTTGTCGACGGCGTCGGGTATTATCAGACATCGTGATGACTTTATTTAGAATAGAGAATAGATTCCATGGCGATTTAGGAAATTGAATTCGGAAATTCGACTGAAACTGAAAACCGCCAGGAGTAATCTCCAACGGAAGGATACCGACACTAACCGTCAGACGTTTTTGCCGAACAAACGTCGGAATAAGACTCTTCCGGCGAATGCGAAGGTGGTTGTCAGAAATTCTTTTCACCTTAAAACTCACCATGGATATTGATTATTCACTTAAATCTATTCAAAGAGAAAGAAATACGAAAATTACAGAAAATTAAGGGCCCGTCGACGCCAGAGAAGCCGGCGTCGGCCGGAAACGATGGAGAGAAACGGAAGTTGTCTTCGAGAGTCGTGTTTGGAGAGAGAATGGAGAAGAAGATCGTTTTAATCAATGTTAATAATTGTAACACTTAAATCTCCAATATAGCTAGTATTTTCTCTTTTCCTCTATATATGCATGTTTTCGATTGTAAACAACGATTCCATATAAGCAAGTATTTTCTCTTTTCCTCTATATATGCAAGTTTTCGATTGTAATTTGTAAACAACGATTCCGATAAACATAATTAAAGAAAAAAAGGCCTTCTCTTTGTTATTTAGTATCCATTTATTTCCAAGTTTATTTAATTTTATACTTTTTAACATTTATCTTTATGATGTAGTAATATAAATAAACAAACTTTGTATCAAAAAAATATATTGAAACGGAATCATTTGGTTAATATTGTTAGCGTGATAAATAAAGAAAATATTTTCCAATTAACACGTTATAAACAAGTCTCTTAATTATCTTTTCCCAAAAACATGCCTTACCTACCAAACGAGATCTGTATTTTATTGGTTTGGTGACTTTGGTCTGTGTGACTTGCATATTTTTAATAAATGATCAGTGGTCTAAAAAGATACTTTGATTTGCATCTTACCTTAAACTATAATATTTGAATAAACAATCATTGAACATGTTAATTTTCAGACTTATTCTTGTCTTTATTTTTTTAATTTTAATTTTAATTAATGTAGCGTTAATAATGGCAAGCGAAAACAAAAAACACATCACAATCTTTCATTTTGATCATCTAGGATCAATTTTTTTTTTTTTTTTGGTAAAAGGTCATCTAGGATCAATTTCTTCGAAGCATAATGAAATATTGCATTCCAGATTTGGCATTCGCAAGTTGCGGAATTATCTCTGGACACTTCTCTTCTATAAGCTCCATTGTCCTCTCCATTGCTTCTTTACCAAACCGCGACTCAAGAACTCCTCCAAATGTAACTTTGTTTGAAGTTGCCAAAAACTCTGGATCCAATGGCATTTCTTCGTTAGCATGACTAATTTTCTCAAACGCTTCGATTGTGAAACACCCGTTGTCCTTAATCACACTCTTGAATTCTACAACGTGTGCCGGATAAATTGGGAAATTGAGAGAGTCCAGCTCTTCTTGGTCGATTAATCCCTAAGAAAAAACAATGACTCAAAAGTGTCATAAAATATATAAAAGATAAATGTTTTTGCACCATGGTACGCTCTACAAGAAAACATTATATTAGTAACGCAACAAAGCGACAATATTTTTACCTCTTTAGCTACATCATGGAGGCAAGTTCCCATGAAATCAAGAAGCATTCCTTTCATTGTTTCAGACATTTTAACTCCATCCGGTAGACATGATCCAAGAAGAAATAGCAAACCCCCGGACACGAGTTCTTCTCCTCTTGCTTTCAAGAAACTTCCCATGTCGATTTTGAACTGATCAAGGTACGTTTCTGCAACCTCTTTGGAGAACCCGGTGCAATGAATGTCCTTGTTCCACGCGGGAGAGTTTCTATCTGCGACACCTTTGGGAACTTGTGACAACCAATGAAGAGAGTAAGAGCAATGTCCCACATGGAGACTGTCCCGAGGTAGAACACGGCCGAAGAAAGACCCCGGAACTCCAGCAACAAAGTATTTTTTGGTCGGAGGGAGTGTTTTGAAAAGGGTGTTGAAATCATTGTTCGAATTATCGTTAAAGAGAACCTGAAACTCAATGTTATCGTCCGGATTTTGCTGAGTTTCGTTACGATACTTTTGTTCCACGGCATCTATTAGGTTTTGTACTGCAAGGAACGTGTTAGGTCCAGTGGAACAACCAAAATCCGCTATGTTAAAGCGATTGGACTCTGAGCTGATGGTTTCGAGTTTGGTGGAGATGGCTTCATTGATCCTTTCCTTGGCAACTTCAAGCAACGCTCTCTACAATAATCAATTCCACCATGAGTAGACAATATGTGTATTAGATATTCAAAGTTTCGACGCTTCAAAGTAACTAAATGCTGATAAAATTGGTCTCGGCATGCATACTTGGTGAAATTGTTTTTATACAAATAAATGTCAGATTTCAGATCAAGAAAAGTTACGCACCGAAACTTTAAAAGTTCACAGTTAAAGAAAGACCAAACATCGAACATGAATAACGGTGAATGTGTTTCCAACAAGATAAACAAAAGAAGATAACTAACTTGATACGTTGAGTGCTGACTATAGCTGTTCGGACCATTGCCTCCGGCCATCGTGTACGAAGGTGCCATTTGTCTTACTAAATTCCTCTTTAATTTCTCTCTCAAAATCTTGCGAATGTAATGATTTTTCTGAGTTCATTACAACCAATGTGTTTATTATATAACCTCTAATAATGGAACTTTCAGTGATAAGAATAATAAACTGTAAAACCAGCAAGCCAGTTTTGACCGTTATCGAAAAAAGACGCTTTTAATTTTCCACGCACGCTAATGCGAATTTTCTTCAGTAGTACAATTATTGTACTCTTTGCCCAAATCGACAGTATTAATTATCAACGGAATTAGTGAATTTCCCTTTTTTTCAAGAAAGAATTAAAAATATAAGACAAAAAAATACTACTATTGTCCCCTTAATCTTTTAATTTAGAAAATTGTCCCATTAATCCTTCTACAACTTATTTATCTTCTTTTACCCTTAAAATTGAAATTACCCAATATAATAAAAAATTTTAATATTTATTTTAATCAGATAAAAGTATAAACAAAAAAGTTTAAAAAAATTTACATCGTCTCTTGTAGAATCTGCCTCCTACAAACTTTATTCTTCGACGAAGAAAAAAAAAAACTTTCGCCGCTGACTTCTTCTCCTCCGGTCTTCTTCTCCTCCGGTGTAGTCTTCGGTGGACCTTCACTCCGGTAAGTCGCGTCGTCCTCTTATTTTGTTTCAATCTTTCAACTGTTAGGGTTTGTGTAATCCCAAATTGATTGTGTTTTCTGGGTTTTGGAATATTGATTTGTTGAATTGGGATTATGTAGAGTTGTTGATTTCTGGGTTTTGCGAAGTATTCTGATGCTCTCAAAATATCGACCGACCCATCTAATTGATTAACGAAATTCATTGTGTATGAGATTCATTGTAGTTTTCATTACTTAATTTCTTAACAGCTGCAGGAAAAATAATTTACGCAAACTTATAATGGCATAGTAAAGAAAAGAAACATAATTTGTTTTGAGACTTATGAGAAAATACGACTTCATGCTGTTTGTTTTGAGGTTTATGAGAGATCTTTACTTAGATATATGATTCTCCCACATTTTTCCTCTCATCAAATCGTGCACTTTGCATCTTTGTTTTGTCCTTCAGTAATTGTAGTTATTTGTGTATACCTGTATGTATTGAGTTTAAGAGTGGTCAAACTTTGAATCCAATTCACAAATGCATATTCTAATCACGTAGAGACTCTTTTAAAAGCCTGTTTTTTTTACTTCTTATACCTTTTATTTGTTTTTGGTCGTTTTCCCCAGGATAATGGCACTTAGACTTTAGAATTGAATAAGCGATAATGGCACTTAGACTTTAGACTTGAGCCTTTTTTTGTTTTTGTTTTTTGTTTGCTTTTGTTTTCCCCTCAGAATAATAATGCTGTTTCACTGTATTTTCTTCATTCTAAAGCATGAATCAACATCTTATAGTGTTTTTTTTTTCTTTTTTTCTACAAGGGTCATCGTTGGATTTGTTGTTGCTGTTGTTGATATCACTTGAGTTTCATTTGTTTCTGAGTACTGTGTTACTATGAAGTTGTTTATTAGCTTTGTACCAGTCTCTATACATAGGTGGTTTCTCATCCAATCGAGTTTATGAGTTTCTCAGCCAGGCTCTATGAGCCAATCGAGTTTATGAGTTTTTGTGGCTTTGTGTTTAGTTCACGTTCCGGTCTCAAGATAAGATCGTTTCTTTGTCGTCAATTTCTTCTGGTTTTGATTTTTTTTTTTGTTTCCTTGTCCATGGAATTTCGTGGTTTGGGCTACTCATTTCCGTAATCTTTTATTTCTTATTCGCAGGATTGGATATGGACTTGCCTAAACGATTTTTTACGCCAGGAAGTGAACCGGAAATTGATAAAATTAACAACCGTTGTCCAACAAAGGAATGACAGGAAACTCTCTGGGTGCTAACAGAACAGAATTCATCGACTCAGCTGGGTTAGTGGTTCGAATGTCATATCTGAATCCAGAAAACTTGCATCGCGCCCACTTTTCCGCACCAGCCTCCATCAAGTATTTTGCAACGAGCGGACTAATGTTGCGAATATCATTGAATCGCCTCTCAAATTCAGATACCCTATATTCTTTAGACGCTTTTGCAATTAAACCAACCAAACCCTTTGTCTTGAAATGAAATGCCACATTACTCAACAAATGATGTATGCAAATTCCATGTGAAGAGTGCGGATAAACTCTAGCAAGTGCTTTAGTAACAGACACATTTCTATCTGACACAAAAGCTACACCTTGCCCATCAGCTATAACGACCAATAGCTGCCTGAAAAACCACTCCAAGACCGATCATTCTCAGAATCAACAACCCCAAATGCTATTGGATACAAGCTGGAGTCACCATCTAACGCTGTAGCAACAAGCAGAACACCTTTGTATTTGCTTTTCAAAAACGTGCCATCAACAACAATAACCCTACGCATAGCTCTATAGAAACCTCTAATCGACTGGCCGAAAGAAATAAATAGATATTTGAATCTATTATCGGAATCAGTTTCGAAATGAGTATGCGTACCTGGATTAGCTTGTTTCAACTGTGCAAATATTTGGGAATTTTTCCATAACCTTTTTCGGGAATTCCTCTAGCAACACTAACTGCATATTCACGCGCATTCCAAGCATGTTAGTAGGAGATCTCGCATCCATACTCACTTCGCATAAATTCCATGATTTCCCGAGGTATTGGCCCTTCTTTAACACCTTCAAACCTATGCATAATCTGTAGTCCAATTGTTTTCGCTGAAGTTGTTCTACCGATTTTTGTTTTTTTCGATGGAGCACATGTATGTTCAGCAACATACTTGTTTATTTTGAAATAGGTTGAGCCTTCTAAACATTCTGCACGAACGCTCCAGGAGCACACCCTATCTTTGCAGCGTATTGACCAGATTTTTTTTGTAGATTTCGTCACATCATAATCAAAGTTGTGCTGCATTGCACATATTTCCGAAGTCGCTTTCAAATAGTTTTTGCTTTTGAAAAGTTGCCCCTTCTTGACAGCGTCTACCAACCAACACCGAGATTCTGATTGGATTTTTTCTTCCTCCTCACCAAAAAATATCTTCAGCATCCTTGCCAAGGCCTTCTAGCTTACGAGCACCTGTTGTGCAGCCATCATTTTGCAGCTGTAAGACTAAAGGTTCAGGTTTTTCCTGCTGTTTCTCATCGCTGCCAGAGTCAGAGGGCTCTTTATTCAAATCAATGTTGACAAGTTCGCTTCTAATTGCAGATGGACCTGTCAGTGTCACACAGAGCCGAACTGAAGGGTTTTTTTTTCATATCCAACAAAATTTTTAACTTGACGATCATTTGTGATAATGACTGGGGAAACCCTGATTTATCAGTCAAATCACTAGGTAGATAACTGATTTGAACATGCTGATCGACGATACCATAGTCCTCCTGCACCATCATTTTTAACTCCTCAAAACTTGTACTCGATTCCAGAGTTATCAATCTTCCTCCATTCTCTTCATCGACATTAAAATCCCACTCTCTCTTCAAACCAGAAGTCCATAATCCACATGTTACGTAGGTTTGTAACATATTTTAAGGCAGTTGGTACGAAAAAAGAAGGAGAAAACGTAAAAGTTATGAAGAAAACGTGAAAGTTTGTAGGTTGAAGGAGGAGAAAAAATGCTAAATTGAGGAGGAGAAGAAAAAAAATGGCGACAGAATTCTCTAAATTGAAAAAAAATATTTAAAAAATTAATTAGGAAATTAAATATTATGAAAAGGAAATTAATATATTCTCTAAATCTGCTCCTAGATTTTTGGAAATTCATTTAACTGAATTGTAGAATAGGTATTTTATAATTGTAGAATAAAGGGTTTCCGTAGAAATGAGATTCTACTAAGTTTGTAGAACAAATAGTTTCCGTAGAAATCCAATTCTATTAAGATGTAGAACAAAGAGTGAACTATAGAAATATAATTCTACTAAACTGTAGAACAATGATAAATTTATAGAATACGGTTTCACAGCTTTGTAGAACATAGAAGAAATGTAGAAAACTAATTCTATATTTTTAGTAGAAAACTAATGAAATAGTAGAAAGCCTATTCTATAATTTATAGATTTATAGAATGCACTTTCTACTAATTCGGAAAATATTTGTAAAAAAAATGTTTAAATTTTTTTTAAAAATATATTATATTTCAGAAAGTATTCGTAATTCCCTTTTTGATTTTTCAAAATTTTTTAGACTGTAAAACTATTTTTTTTTAATTTTCTAAATCTTATAAAGGGGTATTTATGTCCAAAAATGGCCAAATTTGAAAAAGTCTTAAGGGGATAATAATACAGATTTTTTGTTCTATAAATATAATTACCCCTTTTTTCAAACATTGTTTCATGGTACGTACAAGTGAAAAAACTAAAATTTGTAACGCATAAAACTTGGGCAAAAGAGTAAAAGTCCCTTGAAATTCTTATACAAAACGACATCCAAATTATTACCGGATAAATAATATTATACGAACTTTCTTCAGCATTTCAATTCCACATTTTTAAACACGTTTTCTTTAATCACATACTCTTAGAGAGCAAAATACGAGTTTGCATGCTTCTAGCACAGTCTTGCTTGCAGACCCTGTTACTTGACCAAGCCGAGTGTCAACTAAGAAACTAGTTTGTTAGGGTCTTGTCGTTCATGGCTTGTAGGAAGTCATGGTTACAGGTTTTGTTAGGAAACTAAGTTTATGATCTTGTAGTTTTCTTCAAGTTCGTAGTGCTATTTCTAACAATTTGTAGACCATATTTAAATTTTTATTAAAGGTATAATCAACATACATGGTAGTTTCTTGATATTCGTGCATCCACCCAAACCATTTTGTAAAACAGAACTAGTGGAGTAATTAATACTCCTTCTGGTCCCTTGTAAGATGTTCTGAAATTTTTTATTTATATCATTGGTTGGATTGTTTTTAATTATAATTTTAGTGATGGTTTTAATGTAAAAACATATTCCCTCGGTTCTAAAATAATTAATGTTTAAGATTTTTGTATATGGAATGGAGTTTGATCCATCATATACGGTTTGCTTTGTATGACCTATAATAAAAGATCTGATTCTCCTTTAGCTTAGGACTCTCTTTCCCATTAAGAGTCTTTGAGTTTTCAAAAGTGGGGCTATTGGCCAGGTTTTTTCCCCTTTGGTTTTAGGATTTTTAAGGAATATTAACAATATCTTAGTGAATCATTGGAAAATCTTGGTATTCTTTGGGAAGTTTGTTTTGATTTTGTTTAGGGTTCTATAGCGCCGCTTTCATTTTAAAAACCCTAAATAGTTTTTTCGATCTTTTCACAAGCTCCGAAGGACGAAGACAAGTATGGCAAACATTGATAAAGCTCTAATGGCTTTATCATTGGAGGAGGAGGAGGATACACCGTTTGTTATGCCGAGCGATCCAAAGTATTGCTCGAGCGAGAGGAATGTGATGAGCATCATGGGTAGAACTCTCAACCCGGAATGTCAAAACATGTCTGATCTTATACTGGATATGCCAAGGAAGTGGCAAGTATACGACAGAGTGAGAGCTGTGGCTTTGACTAAGGATAGGTTTCAGTTCATATTCAAGTATGAACATGATCTGGAGGAGGTAATGAAGAAGAGGGTCTGGACTTTCAACGAATGATCAATAATGATCGATCGATGGACTGAGAATTCACCAGAGAACTATCTGAATTTCATGCCGGTATGGATACAGATTCGCAATATCCCGTTGAACTACTATACGGAGGCAGCGATATATGATTTGGCAGATCTTATAGCGGAGGTTAAGGAAATAGCGTTTGACCCTGAGAAACCGCAAAGTAAGGACTATGTTCGTGTGAAGGTGAATTTCGATGTTTCACAGCCAGTATGACGGTCAAAAGCTGTAGTCCTACCTACAGGCGAGAATACTACGGTCTGGTACGATTTTGAGTGAATACAGAAGCGGTGTTATGCCTGTCAGAGACTTACTCATGAGAAGGATAAATGTCTTCTGTTGATCAAAATGAGACAGGATAAGGCGATGACACGAAAACAGAGCATTTTAGGTACAAAACAGAGGGCAGAACCAATTCTGAAACCGGGAGACCCTTTGTTTGGAGTTCTGACTGAGGAGCAAGTGGGGGTTAACCCAGACTCGAGAAGAGAGAGAATTACCTAGATGTGCTGCAGGAAATACGAACATATTATTGGAGTGGCAGAGGGGGAGGAAAGAAGGATTCGGGAAGAGAAAGTCAAGAAGTCGATACTGGATTTGGGAGATGATCGACGAAGCAAGAATTCTTTTCTGCGGTTGGAAGCTGGGCCAATTGTATCGACTGAAATCGACAAGGATAAAGGCCCCTTGTTTTCGGATGTCGAGATCAGAGGTGCCATGGGGCAAAAGTCTGGTGCTCCGACTGAAGGAAAATTTATGGGAACAGCCATAAAAGCGGGCATTGGATGGCAAGGACCTGCAGGCAGTGGAGGAGTCTACTCTGAGAGGATACCAGGGTTATTAGAAGATGGGGCGACTCTCTTCAGATCGTGCTCTACAGGTTTTAATATGGGTTCCTCTGAAGCAAGCTCATCAAGCTCTGTATCAAAGAAGACATTACCGAGACGATAGTATATCTCTGAAAAGCGCCGATATACGAAACGCACTACTGCCAAAATGAAAGACAGATCAATGAAGAAAGGGGAGGAGGTGATTGGCGTCTCACCGCAGAAGAGAAAGGCTAAAGAGGGGGAGAAGGAAACCACAAAAATGGCTCGGCGGTTCGAGAAAGAGGTGGTCCCCGAATGAGGGACAGCCCGAAGGGATG